AAAGAACAAAGGGAAGCTTAACTCTTACTACCAGTGAATGCTGAAATGCCTCGACTTAGAAACCACAACCCTTATGTCGAGAGGAAAATCCTTTCAAGCAAGATAGAATCTTATGGATGCCTTGCAGTTGAAGCCCCTTGGCTTAACACTACTATGAACAAAGAAGACAATTGACTAAAGAGAAAGACTCCATGAGCCACTTCAACACAAGGTATTAAATAGCCTATAAGAAAGAATTCTCACAAGGAAAGAGATGCTTTGGAAGACCAGTCAGTGAATCAACCATTTCATTTCCCTTACAGACGAACTATAGTATAGAAAGAGACAGGCTTCCGACTTTCCAGAGTGAGCGCCTTACATTACTATAGCACACCGGTCCTCAAAGAAAAAGGCTTTCGTCCTTCTTGAAGATTATGGGAACTTTACTCTATTAATAGTTTATGAAATACCGACTAAGGCGATAAGGAAAAAGAGAGGGGTAAAAAAGGCAAAGTTGCAGAAGAAACCTCGCTATCATGAATGCTCCAGTTACCGAAGATCCGAAAGAACTATGATTCCCAGTTTGTTAATTAATAAAAGATACCCACATGTTACTTCCTTTATACACAGTAACAAAATGAGACCATTCAACATCAGAAGGACTCTATCGCTGGAACGACTGATGCTTGATTCATTGCTCGCTCACAACCCCAGTTTGCACAGAGTTGAAGAGTAAGAAAAAGGCTTACCCTTATAACTGAACAAGATAAGTAAAACCGGTAGCCGAAAGAAAGGTCCCTCGAGCTTTATTAGTAGTTACACTAGTGCTCAAATCAATACCGAAACACATATAGAGTGTTTAGTCTTTAATCCCGATAATGCCACAAAGAAAGAGCACAAGCAAGAATCCCTGCACTGAATCCATACCGAAGAGACTTAAAAAGGTATCAAAGAGACGATCTACACCGAAAAGACATTAGGAGCACTCATTCCTTGTATCCGGGGAACTTATTCATAAGGAATGGGATCTACACTAGAAAAGGAGTTTACGGTCAATTCCCATATAGACAAAAGGAAGGATTCCACACCTTATCAATGATCGAACTTAAAGATATGAACTGAGTTCCATTTGATGAGTAACTGAGAACAATGGAGAGGGATATGGAAAGGATGAAGTAATGAAAGACGAAGTCATTGCTAGTAGTAATGACTTGTCACGATCCATTGGTTCATATAAAATCCATGTCCTAGGTGTATCAAAAAACATTCCTTTCGCTAAGTGTATATAATAAAATAGAGTGGAAGGTCCACCCCGAAAGGGGGTACTAACTAACAACTGAGTCCTCTCTGAACCGCAGGAGATACTTGCCCATCATACGACTCACCAACTTAACTTGCCTCTATGGGAGACTTGCTCCGGGCAGGTTCAGATTACAATACACGACTCTACGAAGGAAAGGGTTGGTAGGTTGGGAACGTTTTAAATATTATTATTTTTCCGCTATGAGAAATGCAAGACGAAAAAGGAACCCATCTTTTCGACTGGGAAGTGCAAGTCTGTTTTGTCCACCTTCTCCATCCCTCTCTATCAAAATGATAAAAAAGGAAGGCAAACTTGCTTCTTATTCTCGTGTTCGATCTCTTCCATCTCTGCCCCACTCGTTGTCACATATGTTGAAGAAAGGTTTGGAACCCTGTAGAGAGTTAGGAGAGGCCAAAGATCTTCCTTTCAACAGTGCTTCTCGAGGCTTCACTCTCCCTTCTGAATAAGTAAGGTCCCATTAGCCTAGGCGAGGGGATAAGGAATAAGGACGAAATCCCCTTTCACTTTGTCAGGGACTGGACAATGGTTATCTATGTAAATATGTAGAACCGAGTGTAGTGTGGTGTAGTAGTTGGCACTTCTAAGCCCCTTCTCGACTACTGAACCATTTCCGTTCTTTGGGCCGTTTCATGACCGGGGGGAGGGGGTGAAGGCTAAGTGCAGTTCTTTGAATCAAACATTGAATGAAATCGATTCTTTTTTAAATATCAAAATAAGATAGGATATGATAGATGGATGGGTCTATATATATATATATATATATATATATATATATATATATATATATATATATATATATATATATATATATATATATATATATATATATATATATATATATATATATATATATATATATATATATATATATATATATATATATATATATATATATATATATATATATATATATATATATATATATATATATATATATATATATATATATATATATATATATATATATATATATATATATATATATATATATATATATATATATATATATATATATATATATATATATATATAATTAAAAAAATGAATTTTTTTAAGTAGCGTAGCAAGAAATCCCCAATCCTTAATTTGACCAGGAAAGACTGCACTGCTTTAGGCCCAAGAAACGAAAGGAATGAACTCGATTGCTTATCTTCCACATTTATTTTTTATCTTCGTGCCCCTTTCGCATGCGTTTTGCTCGCCATTGGCGCTTTGCTCTCCACCTTAACGTCATCTCTTAACACTTATACATATATGTCAATTGTTTTAATTTGACATATAAGAGGTGTCAGTTAAATTGACTTGACCTCTAATATATCTAATGTAGCAGGTTTGCCAATCCAATTGGCTTGTGTTATGTGTTATAGTTTTCTTATTTTTTTATATATTTGAAATCTAGGTAATTTAAGAATTTATGAAAAAATATAGTTATTTGATAAATTTTATTAAAAATAATTATTTTTTAAATATTAATTTAAAAAAAATTCCAAACATGATAGCCATTTGAAATACATTTATCCTATAAGAAAAATTCATTAAGCAGAGCAATTTTAGAAAAATAAATAAAAATGATTGTATTTAATTTAAACTTTGTAATCAATTACACTAACACAAATCTTCAAGTTGTTGTAGGTGGAATGAAGATCGATAATTTATAAATTATGTTTTAGTGATCCTAATCCGTGATGATTTTATTGAACTTCTAAATATTTTGTAAAGAAACATATTTAATTATGCACTGTACAACTACTACCATATTGTCAATTTAGAAACAATTATTTTCATGAAATATTAGATCAATTTTACATATCTATTATTACCAAAAATATCAACTAACTTTTCTATTGAAAAGATTAACATATATGCCTCACAATGCATGTATTCAAATATATATATATATATATATATATATATATATATATATATATATATATATATATATATATATATATATATATATATATATATATATATATATATATATATATATATATATATATATATATATATATATATATATATATATATATATATATATATATATATATATATATATATATATATATATATATATATATATATATATATATATATATATATAAAATAAAAATAACATATTACATGATATAATTCAATGCATGTGTAAAAGTAATTATACTATTTGTGCATATTATTAATCTCTTTTTTAATTATTAATATTAAAAATGATTTTATGAGGTTGAATAAAATGCCATCCATATACACTATTATTTCTAACTAATACTTGTAAGGAGTAGCAACAAGCATGCCCGTTTCGTTTATGTCTTTTTTGCAAAAACCTTCAAAAAAGCAGAGCGAGGTAAGGTGAGATAGTCATAGTTAAGAATGTGAGTCTAAACCTAAACTCATTTTGTAAAAAAGTGAGAGCGGGAAAGAAAAAGCTCGTGAGTACGACATATTTTAAGTCTAAAAACGTAAAAGTTTGTATAAATGTTAGTCACTGCAAAAATCTGCAAAAAAAAAATGGAACAGAACGAAACTTACACATTTGAAGATGAGTGCCTAAACTCTTGACTCATCCCACACAAAAATACGGACAAAACGGACATTTTCAACGAAGCGGACCTGCCATCCCTAATACTCGTAGTTAAAAACAAATTTGTGTAATATTTATCTAACATAATTTTCAATCATGATTTTTTGAATTAAAGAAATAAAATGATAATGGAGATCATTTATAATTTTGTTATTTTATAATCTAAATCACTTAGAATCTATTTCTTACAATTTATTTTGCAAAAATCAACATATTTTAAAAAATTATGATTATTTATATCTCTTTGTTACCAATTTTAAAAAAAATTGAAAATAATATATAAAAATCTCTAAACAAAAAGTTATTTTGATTAGTCATTAATAATTGTTTTTTTCATAATTAAATAATTATTTTTATTTAGATAAACAAACACAAAATAATTTCGTGTTTTTATAAATATTTAAAAATTTAATATCTAAATTATATTTACATTAAAATACATTTTTTTTTATATAAAAAAAATATTTGTTTTTACAAAATGTAGCAAAGCCGGAAACCATATCGCTATCATCAACCTGGCGTCCCTGACTGAACCAATTTTAGCAGCACAAACAGGGTCACACGCGAAAGCAAAATTCATATCCATATCTATATAATCACTACTTACTTACGTGGAATCTCAACTCATTGCAAACTAGATTTAGATTTGTCAAAGACAAATACATTAACTCTAACGCCGGCCGATAAGAATTCACAAAATCCAACTAGTTGGTATTATTATTATTTTTAATTAATTTCTATTGAAAATAAGTTTTTTTTGGTTATTCAAACAAAAAAAGTCATATTTACTATTTAGAGATTATTAAAAAAGTGCAACCAGGTGAATTGAACCAATCGGTGAAGTGAACCCAATACCGGGTTTCCCACTGAATCAAAAAACCAAAACGTTTTCAAAATAATTTTTATTACGATTGCGCCACCGAATTAAACAAACAAAAATAACCTCTCTCTCTCCGGTACACCAATCCCGTAGAGAGAGAAATTTCTTTGCACCATTCTCTGTTACAGTTATCAGATTCTAGAAAGAGAAAAAAATAAAATAACGTAAAATAGACTTCACCGAGCAATGGAGAGTTTTAGGGTTTTGTGACGGAAGAAAGACGGTGATTGTGATTGACTTCGATGGAAATGCCTGCGAGAAGATCTAATTACTCACTTCTAAGTCAAGTTCCTCCTGATGATCCGTTTTCGTATGCCGCCGGAGCTAGCGCGCCGTCGACTTCGAGTGACGGGAAAGCGAGCAGAGGCGGAAAGTTGGATAGAGGTTTAGGTTTTGATTGGGAGTTAGTTGGTGTTGATCATAGGTCAACTCAGCAAGGGAACAATCGGATCGGGAATTTGTACTCTTCTATTGGGTTACAGAGACAATCAAGCGGGAGTAGTTATGGGGAAAGCTCGTTGTCAGGCGGAGGGGAGTATTATGCGCAGACGCTGTCGACGGCGGCGGCTAGTGAGGTGGATGCATTTGGATATTTGCATGATGATGGGTTTAAGGTTGGTGAGGCGAGGAACAAGTTGTCTGAGGGTCCGGGTTGGACTGGCGGATCTTCCGGGAAGAGCTGGGCTCAGCAGACGGAGGAGAGTTATCAGTTGCAGCTTGCTTTGGCGTTGAGGCTGTCCTCGGATGCTACTTGTGCGGATGATCCGAATTTTCTGGATCCGGTGCCGGAAGAAGCTTCTTTGAGGCTCTCCTCTTCGCCTGAGGCTTTGTCTCATAGATTCTGGGTATGTTTTTGTTGTCTCCTTCTTTCAATTGTGACTTTCTCATAATGGTCAATGGCTGTGACTGAACATAAATTTTGACTATGGATAAACTGTGTTAGTTGTGTATATCAGCTAAATTAAGGCAAACTTTGTTTTAGTTCATTTAGTGTGAAGCTTTCTTAATAAATTTTTGTTTGATGTATAAGATATAGTTGAACTTTCAATCATTTGTAGTATGTGATACAGTTGAGCTTTGAATCATTTGTTGTAGGGTCCATTTATTCAATATGTTTTTTGTGCTAGTTCATTTGGAGGAAAACTGTTAGATTGAGGATAACTATCTTATGCAGTCACAATTTTCACTTTTAATTTTCACTTACTTTGCTGAGAATTCTGGGAAGTGTTAGTAGGGTATCTACTACTGTATGACTTGCATGCTATGATCATATTGCTCATTCTTGAGTTGACATTTTTTATTCCCTAAAGAAATGCTTATCTAATTGTTGTCCCTGCCTAAAAGTTCAAATAGAAAAATTTGATGTTTTTGGAGTCAGACAAATATTGAAAATACTAATTAATGTTTTAACATTGTTGCTGTTAAAAGAATGTACTTTGTGTAGAATAATAATTTCTTGAAAGATGAAATTTGGTATTGGATTCTTGAGTTATTATACTAATTAGTCAATCTCAAGAAGAAAAATGGCCATCCCCCCTTTCGTTTTTACTCTACCACTGATATTTGAAGGTGGAAACTGTTTCATTGTTGCATTTATTGTTAGATATGTGAAAGTTAATTAGGTATTTTTTTATTAACGTACACCAGGTGAATGGCTGCCTATCGTACTCTGATAAAGTCCCCGATGGATTTTACTTAATTCATGGTATGGATTCCTATGTCTGGACTGTGTGCACTGATCTGCAGGAAAACAGCCGAATCCCATCAGTAGATATTCTAAAGTCTGTGCATCCCCGCACCGGTTCTTCCCTTGAAGTAGTTTTGGTGGATCGGCGCCATGATGCCAGCTTGAGAGAACTGCAAAACATAGTTCAAGACATTTCTTGTAGCAGCATAACAACAACGGAGGTTGTGGATCAGCTTTCAAAGCTGGTTTGCAACCGTATGGGGTGAGCCTTCTTGGTGTTCATGGCTTGACCTATTTAGCTTTTTATCCGGCCATGTCAGTCTAACTATGTTTTATTGCTATAACAAGGGGTTCAGCTTCTGCTGGGGAGGATGAATTTCTTTCTTTCTGGAGGGATTGCAGCAATAACCTGAAAGATTGCTTAGGATCTGTTGTTTTTCCCATAGGTAGTTTATCTGTTGGCCTCTGCAGGCATCGTGCCATATTGTTCAAAGTAAGTCTCTAATTCTGTGTCCGGAGTTTAAGGTCGTGATTACACATGTTGATGAGTTTTTGTTCACAGGTTTAGTGCAGGTGGACTGTATTTAAGCTCTTACGAATAATTTGCCATATGTTTGTTATTTAGGTACTAGCTGATGCCATTGATTTACCATGTCGGATTGCAAAGGGATGTAAATATTGCAAAAGAGATGATGCTTCTTCTTGTCTTGTTCGATTTGGGCTTGAGAGGTATATATTTTATTTTCCAAGTACATACCTTTATATTTATAAGTAGAGATGCAATCTCATTAATCATATATAACATTCTGTAAGTATTATGTATATTATAACTTACATTTTAAATAGATTTTCTTAAGAGTAATATTCCTGTCACCTCACATCTTACATTATCTAATGATAGGGAATATCTTGTTGATTTAATTGGGAAGCCAGGACAGTTATGCGAACCTGATTCTTTGCTGAATGGTCCATCTTCCATCTCATTTTGTTCACCCTTGCGCTTTCCAAGACTTAAACCAGCTGAAACTACAATTGATTTCAGGTCACTTGCCAAACAGTATTTCTCAGACTGTCTATCTCTTGAGCTTTTCTTCGACAACAGTTCTGCAGGTAGTATTGAGATTTTTTGTGAAGTTTGTGGTATTCTAAATTTGGGCTTTGTTCTTGTTTACATTTGGCTTGAAGAATCTACTTGGAGCATATTGTTACATTTATCAAGAATTTAAGATTAGGCCTCTGAGATCCTTTTTTTCTCCCCATCTTTTTAACTAACGATAAAACTTCTTTATGCAAGTTAATCTGAATAAATATGTTTTTGTTTACCAAACTAGGTATGGACCTAAATAATATGTCAGTGTTGCGATATTCTTATTTGAATTGAACTCTATTCATTTGCTGTTTTGAGCAGTTTATATGCACTATAGGGAGAATAGATTTGATGGCATATTTTTATTTTAAACTTGGAAATTGCAGGAATTTTGTTGCCTATGGAAAAATCACAACTCTTCACTATGATGTTGAAGGCATAGTTATGATTATTGTGTGTGTTTGGCACACAATAATATTTACCTAATGCCATTATCAAGTCATATTGTTTGTGACAAATATAAGTCTAATTCATTTAGGCATAGTTTAGATTAGCTTCTAGGTTGTGAAAGCTTCTCAATTAAAAAGACTGGCTTCACTTAGAGAAAAATCTATATATGCTTATAGGTGTTTGCGAAGAAGTTAAGTGAGAGAATTTTTGAAAAAAATTTAAAAGCAGAAGCTAGTTCTTTTTTTGCCATAAGTTCTTATGGAGAAATTTATACAAATCAGCTCTTAGTATCTTTGCTAATTGAAATTTGAGTTGATATATATATTTTGAGCTATTAAGAAAAACTTACAGGTCAAAATGGTTTGGCTAGAATATGATATATGATAGAACATTATTTAATTGTTTGACCTATTTAACTAACCCCTTCTAGTGGGATAAGGCTTGATTGTTAGGTTTTTGAGCTGTTGATCTAATGTTTGATAAGTTTGTGATTTGACAAAATAAAAGCAGGCCTTTCTTATAGATGTTTCTCTTGCAAGTCAATTATTTGATTCTGTAATCTGATATGCAAATATATACATATGATTTTAAAGTTGTAATTAAAAGTGTGAATTTGGTTCAAGTATAGGATATCCTGAATTTTATATCATAGGAACTGTTATTAATGTAAATTCTGGAGTCTCCATTTCAGAACAGTTTGATGGGAAAAGCAATGAAAGGAATAACCTTAGGCCAATTTCGAGTGATAGCAACAGAAGCTCTCACCTTCCTTTGTATCCGCAATCTGCTCTTCCGAGCACACGTGATGAAGCTTCTGAAACATATATGTTATGTAACCCTCCTCAGAATATTATAGACTCAACAACTGTGGGCAAGTATCCACCTCCTTTAAAGCATAAGCGTCCTGTTTGTATTTCCAATGATGATGTCATTGAGGGTAGGAGGTTTGTCGAAGGAAGTCAACTGATTCCTAGCAAGCCTACTCGAGAAATTGCCTTTGACATGGAGGATTTAGCTATACCGTGGAATGATCTTAATTTAAAAGAAAAAATAGGATCAGGTACATCTTTTTAATTTCAAATAATTTTTAAAAAGGTCTTCCTTTTTTTTTTGGTGGGGGGATAAAAGAGAGATACTTATATTTAGTAAAAGTGAAATGGATGTTGTCCTTAGCAATGGCAATAGTAAAGAAGAAGACAAGAAAAGGAAGCTAGCTCATTATTGCAATAGAACTCCCCAATTCATATGCATATCTGTTAGAAAGGTTTTGTTAAAAAAGTCATGGCTAGACCTCAATAGAAATCATTTGAATTAATCTCTACAATTAAACACAGCTATACATATATACCATACCACCCAAAAAATTGACTTGCTCGTACCTTACTTTGTAAAGTTAATCAATAAAATCTGATCTTTACGTAATTGACAAAGCAGTTAATGTATTTAGGACATAATATGTTTCTTCCAGTAACATGATTTGTGCAATTAGTATCAGTAGTCATTACTTGAAAATGACATTGTTTTTCAGGTTCTTTTGGAACTGTACATCGTGCTGAGTGGAATGGCTCGGTAAGTCACTTTTTTCTTTTAATAATAATTAATGCTGTATAAGAAAATCAAATTATGGTTGTTTGACTTGTTTTGTTGAAATTTTAGGGAAGGAATGAAAAAGGGAAGATAATTTATATTTAATGAGATGTTAAATAATTCATTTATTGTGATATGAAACACTAACTGCAAGTTATATCAAGTACAAGTATAGCTGACATTAAAAAAAAAGTACAAGTATAGTACAACAAAAGCAAGTCTACAAGTCCTGTCCAATAGCATTATGTTAAGCCCATCCCAATTTACATCTAGTGCAAGACCAGCCCTCATTACTTTCACTCCGTTGATTTTTGCAGCACCTAAGTCTTTGCATTGGTAAATAATGTTATGTGTTTTAGTCTATCACTGTGTATGTACAGAAGTAGTCACCACTCCTAAAGGTTAAATGGTTTCCATATTTTTGGGAGCTTGTTTCATAAGCATAAGAGTTTATGAACTAGTCAAGACTCTACTGGTATTGGAAAATAGGTTTAAATATGCTATTAGTCGAGGGTATAAGGTTTGGTGGTTGGTGTGGGGAGATAAAGAGTAGAGTGGTAAGGAGGTCGAGGGCTTTAATCTAACCCAACCAACAACATAATAATAGTTAATACTAACATTATTTGTTCCAAAAAAATGTTCCTTTTTGGTTTTAGTCTTGTAATCTTTTCCCGCTTAGTCTCTAATAATTTTTTTTGCTTTTAGTCTTTGTTGTTTTGTTTTAGTGTCTATAATATTTGGATCACGTTGAATTAGCCCCTAAAAAATAAAATTGATGTCATATTTTACTGATTTGAAGCAATATTGTCAGCATATTACAACGTCTAATTTACTCTGAACCACATATTATGGGGACTAACACAAAATAACAAGGATCAAAAGAAAAAATATAAATTTTTTTGGGATCACATTGTTTTATAGCACTGAACATTTGTCTTTGATTCTTGTAAATACTGCTTTCTAGCTGGACAAAGCATTATAATTATTGTCAACGGACACTTCACCCACAAATATATTTATATCAAATGAAATGTTACATATTTAGTTAAAGCATCTTATCATAATTATTGTTGATGTTCCATTTGTTCCTAAAATGGCTGTTTCCAATATTTGTATGCCTTTGTCCAGTCAATTGAAAATAATTGTTTGATGGACAGAATTTGCTTGAGCATGAAATATTTTTCAAAACAAAGTTGATGATTTCATAACAACCTACGGTGTGTACTTAATAACTATGGCTTTTGCTCATTTGCTATCAACCTAATATCTTGTTTTTGCTTGTTGACTGATACAAACAGACCTATTTGCAGCCTGTTGGTCATTGGTTTGGCAGCCCATTGACTTCATATTTCCTATTATTTCTTTTAGTTTGGAGACTTCACATCAAATGACATATTTTTAATGATTATAGGCCTTTTACTTTTCTGATTCTGTGTTTGCAAGTTGTTTAAACTCGAGTCATAATTTAGAATGCATATATGTTGGGGCATCATATATTTTCTGAGAAGATTGTGAGACTCTTCTCGGGATTTCTTCATTGAAGTCCTAAGCAGACGTTGTGTTTCTAATTTAATTCTTTTATGACTGCTTCTTCTCTCTACTTTTTTTTTTCTTTAAATATTTTTTTCAACCTTTAATGCATAACTAATTGCAGGATGTTGCTGTGAAAATTTTGATGGAGCAAGATTTTCATGCTGAACGCTTCAAAGAATTCATGAGGGAGGTATGCTTGAAAGTTCTAACCATGTCTTAAGCAGAGAAAACATGATTGCTCTTTGAGTAGTTGTTTGCTGTTTATTTGATCTGTATTCTAACTTCTCTTGCCAGGTTGCAATAATGAAACATTTGCGGCATCCAAACATTGTTTTATTAATGGGGGCAGTCACTCAACCTCCTAACTTATCAATTGTTACCGAATATTTATCAAGGTTTCATTTATGTCTCTAACTGTCCCTAATCTTTTTTGCCCAAAAGATAGAATTTTTCCAAGGCTATATATGATACTTTTAACCTTGAAATCCTAACAGATTTTGAAATAAGTGCAGGGGTAGCTTATATAGGCTGTTGCATAGACCTGGTGCCAAGGAAGTTTTGGATGAGAGGCGTAGACTTAGTATGGCTTACGACGTGGTATGCATTTAAACAATTGTTTCATTTTTGGTTTTTGTTAATTTTTGAATTTGTTATGTCATAATGGTTGTAATTCATTCGTAATTATTTGTATTTTTTTTTCATTTATAGGCAAAGGGGATGAATTATCTTCACAAACGCAACCCCCCCATTGTTCATAGAGATCTGAAATCTCCAAATCTTCTTGTTGACAAGAAATACACTGTGAAGGTGAGAATGAAGCTCCTGTAGGGCCTGTTTGGATTATAGCTTATTAGAGCTTATCTACCAACATAAGTTTTGTGACATTGTTTGGGAGATCTTATCAAAACAGCTTATTACATTTTTCATAAACGTTTTTGAGAGTTTAATGGAAATAATAGTTGTCCTTGAAAGTAATATTCTGATTCTCTAAAATTTTCCCTGCATCATTCATTTGCAAATAGCCTTGTATGGGTACAACTTACAAGCCTGTAATTAGTCACCAAAATGAAAGTTACACCGTTGATTCCATATAGGTTATAGCATCAATGGTATTTTTTTTTTCTTTGATAAATTGCACCATTTGAAACTCAAGTTTGATCAGGAACTACATATTACTGGTGGCAAGATTCGAGTCTGTTGCAAAATCTGCTCTACCTTCACATAGTTGAATGGAAGTTTCAGTATTCTGCTAATTAGATGTGCTTGTTTTGATTCAAATTTGAAATGCTTTTGAAAAGCCACATAACAAGAGAACATGTGGAGTGTGTTAGTAACATATATCTTTCTGAAAAGCCAGATAACAAGAAAACATGTGGTGTGTGTTAGTAAACATATATCTTTCTGAAAAGCCAGATAACGACATGTGGTGTGTTAGTAACATATATCTTTCGTGGAATATCTCTTTTTTGTTTTTTTTATGAGGGAGGAAGGTTGGTTTGACTGGGTACTCCATTTTCTTGTATATTAATGGTTTTTTGCGCCTAAATATGGTAATGCCATTTCTCTAGGTTTGTGATTTTGGGCTTTCCCGCTTAAAGGCCAATACATTTCTCTCTTCCAAGTCAGCTGCTGGGACTGTAAGTTTGAAGTATCTACAGATATTTCTGTTTTGTGTCTAATGTTTCAGAAGTTTGTTCTAAATAAAAATTAAGCCGTACTCCTTTTCCTCCCTTAGCCTGAGTGGATGGCTCCAGAAGTTCTTCGCGACGAGCCATCAAATGAGAAGTCTGATCTTTATAGCTTTGGGGTAATCATGTGGGAGCTTGCAACATTGCAACAGCCATGGGGTAATTTGAATCCAGCACAGGTTGGTTTTCTACTATAAATTTATAATTGAAGTATGCTCAATAGTTTCTATTATAATTTATAATTATATTGCTTTAGATTTTATGAAAGATTCACAAGGTCTGAAACTTGTGAAAGTAAGAATACACAGTATAGTATGATATAGCAGTTGTATGCAGTTTATAATAGAAACTGCAAATGATTGCAAGAAATGTCCATTTCCTTAGATAAAGGAACGATAGGATCAACAATAAAGAGGGAAATACTATACAATAAAATAAACACCGATTTTAATAATTCTTGTAGTTATTCTAATAATAGGAAAGGAGATAAGTGCAGATTTGTTTTAGTAAATTTGTGTTATCTTCTACGCCTATTTATTCTTTTTGCACTAGTTATTTTCTATGTTTCAGTATTATGCTGTAAGGAGCTTGCTAGATTCCATCTGTTGGTTAATCAAGAGTCTGTTAGAGTTATTCATCTTTTATTACTTCAATATTCACAAATATGTACTGTCCTGTAGGTTGTTGCTGCTGTTGGCTTCAAGGGAAAAAGGCTCGAGATTCCACGCGAGTTGAATCCCCAAATAGCTGCCATAATTGAGGCTTGCTGGGCCAAGTGAGTATGGTTACATCTGCCATTTTGTATTTTACTAAAAAATTCTGCGATAGGTTTTATTGATTTATACTCGATATGCTTAATTTACTGCAGTGAGCCCTGGAAACGACCTTCTTTTGCCAGCATTATGGATTCTCTGAGGTCATTACTCAAACCCCCTACACCTCAACCTGGTCTTCCAAACATGCCGCCTCTCACCTGAATGGCTGGAAAGGCCAAGTTGTTCTTCATGCACATACACAGGATTTTATTGGTTTTGATGTCTAACAGGATTACACCGTTTTAAGTCGTCATAGGTACGTGCCAAATCCATTATGGTCTTGTCACAACACTAAATCTAGCTTTGGTGTAGTGTTTCTCTGCTCTTGGGTTGCAGGGGTAAGGGGAATGCCATCTATTTGCAATCCGATATATATGGTTTTGTTGGTGGCTTATATTTCCAACTTCTTGTGATCAAAGACTAATGCTTGTTCATATTTTTTTTGATATTCTGATTATTATAGTTGTAGTGTTTATAGGATTTCGATTAAATAAGATGTGAATTGTAATCATGGTTTTGTTGGTGGCTTATATGTCCAACTTCTTGTGATCAAAGACTAATGCTTGTTTATGTTTTTTTGGTTGCAGAGTTGAGTTGTATATTTCTTTTTTCTAATTGAGGTTTGAGAATACTGATTTTCAACGCAAAGCAAGGATACTCGATCTTTGTTGCAACAAAATTGTTTGATAGTATTTTTTAATTTCGCCTAGAAAAGCTTAATTTTTTTCCTCAGAATTTTGATGTAAAAATTATTCCCATTGTAATTACATTCAGTTAATGATAAGTAACTTTACCTGCTTTTCTTTTGCATGTTTACATTATCAGTGATTGCTTCTGAAGCAAATGCCAGTGGTTTGATTCAACAACACATAATGATTCAGTAGTACAAATAATTGAAATTTGCGTTGAAAGAGCACTTTCTAACTATGTTTCTTTTGTTCCTCCTTGGTTTAAAATCCTAAAACGATTTTTCTCTAATTGTAGTTATGTTTCACAGATACGAATAAATGGAATGAATTGGATAAAAGTAAAAGCCAACTAAATTGTTTTTAATTGTTTGGATATATTTAAATAATAATAGAATACATAAAAAACCTAATTCCATTTCATTCTGCATATATGGTTTCATTTAATTCCATTTTTCTACTAATTTTATAAATAATGAAAAATCAATTCTACACAATATAGAAACTATTTGTTAGTATAAAACTAGTGCTTATATATATTTTCTCTGCTGGGGCTAACTATGAGTGTTCAGGAGGGAATCATTTATTTGAGGGAGTCATTTTTTCACCCTTCATGGTAGGTGGATGGGCTACTTTTATTTTGTCAAAATTTAATTCAAAGATTTATTTTAGTATATAAGGGTTTGCCAAAATTTATTTTAAAAATTTATTTTAGTATATCTAGAGATATATTTTCATAAACACCATTAATTTAAAATTTAATGACCGTTACAAAAGTGCATCTTCAGATGCGTTTTATATATTATTCCATGTCAGATCTTTTCCCTTCCTCCTTCATTTTTTGAATACTCACTCATAAAAACTCTTTTGAGCTATTTTGCTGCAAACTATTTTCAAATCCCATTTGAACAAGTTTTATCAAGTTCACTCATTATATTCTATCATTTGTTGTAAAGTTACTCACTCCATATTGGTAAGTTTCTCATCAGACGCTCCTGGAAGACCACCTGAGCCATCTAATCAGGAGATACTAGAGGCAAGGGATGACCACACCTATGATGCGGCGACGATCTGTCAATGTATTGTGGATATAAAGAGATCATACGTAGAGAGGTATTGAAGGCTAGGGACGACCACACCTATGACGTGGCGGCGGTCTCAATTTGACCCTTTTCTCCTATTAAAATCACAACAATAACCGATGATATCAATATGACATGCTCAACCCATTTTATGCACCCTGGCAATAGCCTCAACTTATCTGTTGTTGCAGCACACCTCTCGAATACAAACTACCGTTCTTGGTTCCGATCAGTTAAAATGATTCTCCTCTTAAAAACAAATTAGGGTTCATCGATGGAACCTTAACTCGACCTCTTGTTTCAGATCGAGACCAAATTGCATGAGATCGATGCAATACAATTGTCAGGTTCTGGTTAACCAATTCCATTGACCGTAAAATCACTAAAAGTGTCCTCTAGATGGACACAATTTTTGATATCTAGGAAGATATGCGTAAACGCTACCATCAGGGCGATGTTTTTCATATTTCTGATCTCCAAGAGGAAATATACCCCCTCAGACAAGGAGATTTCAATATCACACAATGCTTCACCACACTGAAGAAACTGTGGCAAGAATACAACAACTTTCTCCCTCTTCCTCAATGCACATGCTCTGCACCTTGTAGCTGTCAAATGCTTCTTACCATCAAGGCCTACATAGAGGGTGATTATGCCATTCGATTCCTTAAAGGATTGAATGATCAATATGCACTTGTAAGATCTCAGATTATGCTTATGCAGCCCCTTTCATTTATCAATAGAGTTTTTTTTTTTTCCTTACTCATCCAGTAAGAAAGACAACAACTCCTGAACACTGAAGATAACAAGTTGGTTGCTTATGTCAACAAACAACAATTTCTAACAATTTTATAACCAAAATCTCTAGCACTTAACAGGAACAACATGACACTTTTGTAACCACAACAAGCTTTACATAACAATATCAAATCCATACTTTAAGTGAAAGTTAACAAACTTCATGACAGTTTTTGACAGTATAGTAAGTTTGAACATGACAATGTTAACATCCATTTAGCAAACCAACAAAACATAAACACATGATGCAATAATAATGAAGAGGTTAAAAACCACATACCTCTTGCAGTCCTCCTTGAGCAAGCTAGCGGCAAGAGCAATACCCTCCCTTGAGCTTTCTTCCTTTTCCAACAACAAGTGACTTTTTGAGATAGTTTGAGCACACAAGCCTCCAATTGTTTTTTGAAGTCTTAGACAGTTGAAAAAACCAAAAGGAAAGGTGTTCAAGGTGTCCAAGGAGTCCAAGTTGTTCTAGGTGGTGAGTTTTGCTGGTTTATGCAAGAAAGTCAATGTTCATGGTGTGTGAAGTTGACTTTTTGAGTTATGGTGTTTTTGGCTGGTTTAATGGTTGCAACACCTTCTAAACATAATTTTGAGGTTGTGTGTATGATTTTTGAGGTGATTCTATGGTTAAAAGGGGTGCTGGTATGCAGTTTGCACCAGACAGTTTTTTGGTGTTTTTTGGAGGAATTCAAAGTTCAAATTCTGGTTTCTCTTGCAACAGTGGTGGCTAGGGTTTCCTCAGCTGCTAGGGTTATGCAGTAGTTGGACAAAGAGTGGTTGCTTTTGTGTCTGCTAGCAACATGATGGAGAGAGGTGTTGTGTTTTGAGAGCTTTGGTCTTTCTTGTTTTTGGTAAGAATTTCAAAAATGAACCAAAAGGTACATGCTTGTGTTGGTTCATTTTGGGAAATGTTTGGTGTGCTCTAAGGCCAATACCATGCGCATGGGATTTTGATTCAACATGCTGCATGACAGAAATGAAAGGTTATTCCAAAATATCTTGTAACACATGCCTTGAAAATATGCTCAAACCACCAACTTTGGGGCAATATAACTTTGTGCACAAAACTCCATTTGTTTAGATCTTGTGCTCAAATGAAAGAGGGCATGGAGTAGAACAAATTTCATTTTGGTGGAAGTTCCATTTGATCATTGGAAGGACATGAAATTTGAGGTTGAAATGCATGCCAAGCAAGCTGCCTATAAATAACTTAGAAAAAATTCTAAGTATGGATATTGGCTTATTTTTCCTCAACTTTGCACATCCATAACTTGAGCTTCACAAATCATATTGAGGACTTCTTGTACTTTTTATAAAGCTTGTAAAATTATCTGCAACTTTAATTTGGGACAAAGTTTCATTTGACATCAAGAGCTTGATGGAATTTGGCTTGCAAAGTGGTGCAAAAATCTGTCTAAACTTGACAGTTTTGAAGTCATTGAAATCCCCAACTTTGAGGGATCATAACTTGAGCTCCAAGTATCATATGATTATGAATTGGTACTCAAAATAAATCTTGAAATACAAGTAACAACTTTGATGTTGAGCCAAGTCCATTTGAAACCTTGATCATGAAAAGAAATGGCCTTGAAGATGGCTGCTTCAACAATTCTTGATTTTTCATGATCCCCTTGACTTTTCTTGATCAAATTCCATCCATTGGTCATATTGAACTTGAGGATCATGATCTTGACCTCAAAAAGTCAAGAGTTGAATTTTTCACTGCACAGTTGACTTTTTGCCCAAATCTCTTGATTTTTAATTAACTGATCAATTGAAGCTCTTCTGATTAAAATTGATGGTCAATCTCTCATCCCCAAACACCTTAGGACATATGGAAGACCATGGAGACAAATATTTCTCCCAAAATCAAATTTATCCTGATTAAAAGTGAAACCCTAATTTCATCCTTTTTGCCTAGGCATTGTGCAGATGAACTGAGTGACCATTCCCACTTCATAATGACCTCTGAGGCACTCAACAAGCTTATACCTCATGTTTACATCAATGACAAGTCTTTATGGACTCCTTGACAACCTTCTGATGATTCCTTGATAATGTTGTGGCACACCCCTCCTCTCTAAGAGCTCCGATAACTTCATGATGATGGCAACCACATAATAGCCTCTACCAATGCCTCTGCTTGAACTTGTGGTCAATAAGGCTCTCCTCTTGGATAGGACACATACAAACACTCGATCCCCTGTAAGAACTATGTTATGCAAATGCAAAAATGCTAAAATGCAATGAAACATAAGCCAAAGATTAAGAAAAGAGGTTGGTCAAATTTTGGGGTGCAACATAAGGCTTTATATAGAGTAAGAAATGATGGACATTCATGAGTCATTAGAAAATGTAAGGTTGAAAGGATTAATGTTAAAAATTGAATAACAATACTAGAGAATTAAAGGTACTTGAAGGGGTTACAAAGATTGACTGAAAGTTGAATGGAAATTGAAATAAATTCATGAATCAACCATGAATGCAGAAAAATGAAGCATTCTGGTCAAATATGAATTAATTCGTCCATTCAGTGTCATAGGCCGACCTAACTTGATATGCGTCGACACATGCTGTAGAAGAATTCAAAAGA